CTATTATAGGGTGACATGCACATGTTTTAAAGTATTGGTCAAGCATAAACAAGTGAATCATTTATTAGCAAAAATAATGTATGCATTAGATATTAGTAATATCTTGTTTGATGCATTTTTTCATGCTATGTATAGCTAACACATTCTATTGTATATTGGGGAGTGTATTATTAAAACCATAAATAATTTCTAGGTATTAGTAATACAAAGAGATTTAATGCATGCATTAACATGGTTACAAACTCAATTACCCTTCAAAACTCTTTTTACATCTTTTTTCACCATAATTATAGAGGATATTTTTGTAAATAATTTTTTTGTCACAATGCATTCTATTTTTAATACTGTTTGCAACAAATTTTAAATATATGGAAAATAAATAAACCACACGAATAAAATCTAAAGAAACATAATTTTATTGATAAATATGCGGGTACAATTTTGCTCCTCCCTTGATTCTACTCTCCTAAGATTTATCCATGATTCTAGGGCCGTTAGTGGTGTATTTCTCAAACTAGGATGATTTAAATTTGAGCTCTATATGAATATTCCATGACTTTTGTGGAATATTTGAGATCTTTATTGTTAAAAATACCCAAGAGTTTATGGGATATTTTGAGATGCCTTTTAAGAGAATTTAGACCCTTTATATAGGCATAAATTAGGGTTCTGAACACACCTTCTGGAGTCCCAATTCAAATTGAACACGTCTTGTAGAGTCCGCAAAATTTCAAACCAAACACTGCATGTAGAATAATCTATGTATATTTAATGTAAAAATAACTAACACAAACATTACTAATGTAAACATTATTAATACACTCTATTTAACATTATCAGTACTCTACCAAACGAACCCTAAAAGATACCTTTAAAAGGTTGAATGCGTGTGTAAGAGATTGCCTCTCATCACAAGAATTTGAGCTAAAAGGGTAAATTATGCATTTTAACTATAATTTTCTCGACATTCAAAAGGATAAATATGTCATTTTATTATTTTATAACCTAGCTATTATTCCTTATCTTGATAATCAATCAAACCCTAATGTGTTGGTATTGAAAAAGAAAGAAAGAAAAAAGTGAACGAGGAAGAGGATTTTAAATATGAGAAAATATATTACAATTATTCTTGTTTCGATTTTTGTTTTTTAATAATAATAATAATAATAATATATTTTAAGCATCTTTAATAATTATTTTTTGACAAATAAATTAAATATTACCGCACCAATGCAAGAAAAAGTCAACGACCCTCAAGAAAGGGTTCTTGTCTCTCCTGGCTTGAAAGTTGAAACAAATTAAAATAGTATTAGATTAAAATTTTCATTTAGAAGATATTATTCTCACAGTAAATTTTATGATTTTTGCTTAATTTATTAATATGAAGCTCACTTTCTTATTATCGTCATAATTTATAATTATTACTCCTTTCGTCCCATTTTATGTGGCAACATTTGATCGGGCATGGAGTTTAAGAAATAAATGAAGACTTTGAAATATTTACTAAATTACCCTTTAAAAAGTAAATTCACTTTTCTCTCTCCTCATAAATGTATTGGAATATTATTTTAAGATTAAGTGGGACCATCAAGGATAAAAGAAGAATTGTACCTTTAAATACTTATCATATAAGGAAATGTGACATTCTTTTTGGGACTGACCAAAAAGGAAATGGTGCCACATAAAATGGGACGGAGGGAGTACTAACTTTTTGCGTGTATTATTTCAATCAATCCCAATAATATAGAGTAGTAATTCAAGGGCGGCTCTACGCTTTGTAAAATAATTTGGGGACCTCAAATTTTTATCAAGAATAAATTATATGTGTTAAATTTTTATAGAAAAAAATGATTATTTATGATAAAAAGTATAATATTTTTAAAAATATATTATTTCACCCACTTTAACATATTTTGTATTTTGTTAAAAATAAGAATTAATAGTGAAAAATGTTGAACAAAGTGAATTATAAATTATTTTTATTTGTTTTTTAATTTTAGTTTCAAGCATTACAACAAGCATATTAAAATGGGGGTATATCTAGTCATCAACTTCTTGAGATTCTATGTTTCTACTCTTAACTTTATTCAATATTTGTCAACTTATTACTTATAGAATTATGTTAACAATTCATATAATAATTGCCTCATTGAAATGATGTTTTTCAATGTTGAGCTGATAAAATTTTACCTAATATTAATAACTGAAAAAACAATATTAAATACTAATAATTCTCATCTAAATAGTGTAAGAAAAATAAAAATTAAATAAATATATATACAAACTTTATTTATATTTTAGATCTCAAATTGAAATTTAATTTTAGACATCCAATTACGTTGAGCCGTATATTTGAGGTTCATAATGATTGGTTAGGTCGCAAAGACCAAATATGAATAAATTGAGATGAGATGAGCGAAATAGTAGTAATAGTTGTTGCTTCCTCATTAGCGGCAGGTTGTGGGGCCCTCTTTGTATAACGTCAGCACCCATTTATACTTTATACTCCCATTCCATTATTATTAAATATTAATTAATGACAACCTAAAAAAGATCAACCACATATATTATTATTATTATGTTAAAAAAAGAGCACTAGCTGCGATGACGAAAGCATTCCGAATCCACAAACGAGACTACCACCCAAACATCTCTCTAATTTTATTGTTTGTAGGAGATTATAAAATTAATATTTAATTTAAAATATTAAAAAGAAAAAAAGAAATAAACAAGTTAAGATTAAAATAGAGAGGAAAAGTTTGAAATAAGAAAAGAATAGTGGGGACCATTGGAAGCAGGAAAATTGTAAGGGCAATTCCAAATAAAGTTGGTGCGATGCGGCGAACTGGGCGGGTGCCCTTTTACTGATTAGAGAGTCATGTGGGAAATATGACTCTTTTTCCAATTAAAATTATATGAGTAGTATCGTATCGTCAGCATTCTGGATTCAGATTTTAAGGTTGACCCATCTTACTTTTTTCATATCGAGGATGATAATAGTTGTATGTTGAAGGACGATAAATATTTTGATTAGTAGAGCAGCTTGATGTTGTGGTTGAATGAGAAAAAAAAAAAAACAGAGAGTATATATGTTGAAATTAGGTAGCTGTGGGGGTGAGTTTGATTGGTATAGTGGAAATTGGAGGTTTAAAAGAGGCAATTGACGGGATGCCGCATATATATACGTGAGAGATCGATGTGATACTTTTTCTGTTTTCAAAACCTGAGCTTCTTCTTCATTTAATATGAATGAATATCAGAAATTACCTACAAGTTTAAGAGGAGTAAGGTCTGATTGTTTCCTATATATACCCTTGATGTACATTCCCCGTTATATATATATATATATATATATATATATATATATATATATATATATAGCTGGCTTTAATATAAGACGTGATCGAGATGCACCACCAAACTCAATCTTCCATATATATCACCAAATCAAACCCCAATACTTACATTTCATTTAAACATTTTAACTAAAGCCATGTTCCAATTGAATACTTCAACTCTTAATAAGCTGTTCTATTTACATACCTTCGCTTCTAATTTCATAACATCTGTTTTTATTCATTTATTATGTAATTAAATTAATCACATAAAATATGTCAACTCAATCTTGATTTTCATCAGAATCCGTTTGGTCAATAGAATGATATTCTGAAGAATCTTTTTCCAGAAAATGAAGACTCGTTCCCATTCTTTCCTATTTAATTTATACATTTTTCACTGCTATTTTTTTTGTCCTTTTACGGCGAATAGTTTCATTCAATAAACATAAACACATGCTTATAAATCCGTCATTTTTATCGAGAAATGTTTCTCACATCACCGTTTTACCAAACACACATATTGCTTATATATTATCAAAAGTTTAATTTATATTTCGTTGGTGTAAACAATATTAGACCATCCAATGAATATTTATAATTAGGATGTCTTAAAATGTGAAATTAAAAATAAATACTTAGTGGACATTTGGGCATAGATTCCAATTTATTTATTTTTACTTAATTTGAAATTTATGAATTTAAAGTTCAAGTAGTTAAAAATGAAATTATGCTTAGTTATACGAGTATTTGAAATAATGTTCACATTTAAATCATACTTAAGTACAACTTTAATAGTGAAAAAGTAAGTTAAAATACATGTTATAAATTGTATTTGAAAATTTCATAAACAAACACTAATTATCAAAGATTTTTATGGGTGAGGTATATATATATATATATATATGTTAAAAAAATAGTGATAATTTGGGGAGAGAAAAATAAAAATAAAAATAAAAATAAAAATAAAAATAGGAGATGACGTTTAATAGTTTAGGTAAAGGAGGGAAGAATAGAAAATAGATACTAGTAATTGTTGTTTGAGAATCTTTAAATAGAATCAAGAGGGCAGGTAAGCAGAGCATTAGAATATGGATGGTGGGGACCAATCCATAGAGCAGCAAGTGTGCATCTTATTCTATTCTCTCTTCTAATAAAAGTTGGCTTCCGTCAGCAACAAATTTGTACTTTTTTTTATATATACAGGGCTGCTCAACCCCACCCTTTTATTCATGGCTTTCTCCATTCCAACTCTTTCCTTTTCTTTTCATTCTTTCTTTCTTTCTTTCTTGTTGAGGATATGATGACTTTGTTTTTTTTTGTAGACATTAGAGTTTTGGATTTGGACCGTTCCTCAATTTAATTTAATTCTTTTGGGATGGAAAATTATTAATGTATGTGTGGCTAGTTTTTGTGGTCTGCAATGCATTTGTGATTGCAGTTGCGAAACAAAAACTTTAACTGATGATGTTTGTGGAACCTGGGCTGATTGGGTTTTGGAAGACCAAGGAATGGAAGTTCCTCTTCTTGTTTTTCATATTTAGGCTGCTTTTGTGTTCGTGAGTGATATATCATTTCTTTTATATATATATATATATATATTCCACAGCTCTCAGCTTCTTCTTTATGGTGGGATGGGAGATTGATTGATTTATCATCATTAATATGGAAGATGCTGCCTTTACGCTCCATGACAACAACAATACTACTAGTGATTTTACTGAATTCCTCTCCGACGGATTCTGGCTAGAGACAACAACAACTACTGCTACTGATCAAGCTGGATCCAATTATTTCTCTCCTCACCCCCTTTTATTAGATACTACCACTACTGATCAAATGGATCAACCTACAACCCAATTGCCTCCTCCTAGGAGGTTATGGATTGGACCAAACACTCTCACTAACCCAAATCCTACTATACCAGTAAACACCAGATTGGTCCAGGCCATTGAATACCTCAAGAATTCCCCAACCCATAAAGATGTCCTCATTCAGATATGGGTCCCTGTCAACAGAGGAGGTAAACATGTACTTATTACTAATAATCAACCATACTTTCTCAACCCAAACTCCCACAGTCTATTAGAGTACAGAAATGTCTCTGAAAATTACGAATTTGCTGCTGAGAAAGATTCAAAGGAGTTGGTTGGCTTGCCTGGACGTGTCTTCTTGAAGAAGCTGCCCGAATGGACTCCTGATGTTCGTTTTTTCAAACGGGAGGAGTATCCACGAGTTAGTTATGCTCATCAGCATAATGTTAGGGGCTCCATTGCTGTTCCTGTTTTTGAAAGTGGCAGTGGAACTTGCTTGGGTGTTGTTGAGATTGTAACAACTATTCAAAAAACTCCGGAGCTTGATGATGTCTGCAAAGCTCTTGAGGTATTTCTTAATTGTATCCACTCGCGTCTTAAACTTAATTTCCTTTCTCTCAATACTTAGATTAGCATTATAAATTCATGGGTTAGTCGGTACGTGAGTTTTTTTTTTGGGGGAGGGGGATACTTCAACATGCTAAATGTTCAATTTCCTGAATGTCTGCAATCATCTTCCAACTGTTTCTCATTTCTCCCTTGAACAAATTAAATGGTCATATGGTTCTAGTTCCCACAAATTTTACCTGGACTTTGAGGATTATTTTCTTGAACTATCATTGAGGTTTCATCTGACACTTGTGCTTGTAAAGGAACTTATCATTAAATACTTCTTCACTACTTTGTCCCGTAATCGTCCATTCTACTGATTAAGAGGAGAAAATTAATCTTCTTTTTGAGTTCCAAATGGAATTGGTGATTTTACTCGTCTTTGGTTGAACTATTATTCCTTAAGTTACCAACAAAAAAGACTCTAGCATCTCCTACTAATTTTGGGCACCTGTGATTCTCTGCTATGAGAATGAAGTGATCTAAAGAAGCTTTTTGGTCCTTGTAGGCTGTTAATCTAAGAAGTTCTGGTATCTCATCAAATCCTTCCAAAATCAAGGTAGATCAATAAATTAATCTTTCACTTTCTCATTAGGAGCTCCATATTCAGCTTCTGATATTGTAGTTATGATTCTATATCAGGATTGCAATGAGTCTTACCTAGCTGCATTGGCCGAGATTCAATATATTTTGACATGTGTGTGTGATACACACAAGTTGCCATTGGCTCAGACTTGGGCCCCATGCATACAACAAGGTAAAGGTGGGTGCCTGCAATCTGATGAGAACTTTGCTTCCTGTGTTTCGACAGTCGACTCAGCTTGCTATGTGCGCGATCAACATGTGGTGCCTTTTCATTTAGCATGTTCTGAGCATCACTTGCTTAAAGGTGAAGGAGTTGCAGGTGGAGCATTCAATACAAACCAGCCATGTTTTGCTATGGATATTACGGCCTTTAGTAAGGCAGATTATCCATTGTCACACCACGCCAGGATGTTTGGATTATGTTCTGCTGTAGCAATACGCCTTCGAAGTATATGTACAGGGTCGGCTGACTTTGTCTTGGAGTTTTTCTTGCCACTTGATTGCAAGAATACTGAAGATCAAAAAATAATGCTAAGTTCACTGTCTTCTGTGATACAACAAAGTTGCCGAAGCTTACGTGTTGTCACGGATCAAGAATTACAGGAGGAAAAAGAACTCATGCAACGTGAAAAGGTCAGCCTTTCCATTGGTGGATACCATGAAGAAGAATCAAGAAAACCAGTCTCTTCATCTTACAGGGATCAAGACGCTTCTTCCTGGCTTTTGGAAATGTTGGATGCCCAAAGAAAGGGTAAAGGAGCTGCTGCTGTTTCAGAAAATCACAATGATGAGCAAGAAGAAAACTTTAAGGTCACAGCAACCCCTTGGTATTACACTCAGAGGGAATCCATTCATGCATCTACATTCTCAGAGCCAAACCAAAATTTTGAACCCAAAGGAGGGTCTGGGGGTTCCTTTGATTTTTCTTCTGGTACAAGATCTCATTCCTCAGGTGCCAAGAGAGCAGGTGAAAGAAGACGGTCAAAAACCGAGAAGAGTATCAGTTTACAGGTACTCAGGCAGTACTTTGCTGGAAGCCTCAAAGATGCTGCCAAAAGTATTGGAGGTAGGATATGTTGCCTAAAACTAGGGGTGGCAAAATGGGTAAATAATATGGATATCCTCTCATATTACCCATTTTAAATGAGTTGGGTATCCAACTCATTTAAAAATGGGTAAAAACTGAGTAATACCCACATTACCCATTTAAAAGTGAGTAGTTAAATGGATAAAATGGGTAAAAGCAAACAAAAAAAAAGTGATAAAGGTATGAAATTAAAAATTAAAATTTTTAATGGGGTGTGGAGGGGGGGGAGGGTCTGGTACAGGGGTGTGGGGGGAGGGGAGGTGGTATGGGGTGGCGTGGTAATTTTTTCAAAAAAAAATTTAAAATTTTAATGAAAAAATTTAAAATTTTGTTAATTTTATTTTGGGATGGGGTGTTGAGGGGGGGGAGTGGTAGGGGGTAGGGGGCTGGTAGGGGGTGGGGTGGTAATTTTTTTAAAAAAAAATTAATGAAAAATTTTAAAATTTTGTTAATTTTTTTTGGGATGAAGTGGGGGGGGGGGGTGGTAGGGGCTGGTAGGGGTGGGGTGGAATTTTTTTTTTTTTTTTACATTTTTTTGGGATAGGGGGGCTGGTAGGGGGTGGAGTGAAGTAATAAAAAAAATTAATTTTATTTTAATTTTTAAAGCTTTTAACAAGATTTCTATTATAATATGGGTAAATATGGTTATTCATATTATCCATTGGGTAACTCGTTTTTACTCATTTAAAATGTGAGTCGAGTCAAGTAACTTACCCATTTTTATTTAACTCGTTTTTTGATCGACTCATATTTGGCTTGACTCGCTCGTTTGCCACTCCTACCTAAAACTATATAAGTCCATTCATTTTGTCTACAATGACTACTGTGAATTTGGAACTTTAGAAATATGCAATATCAGCCTTTCATGGCATGATGGACCGTTGGGTAACTATTAAAATGATGCATTGGAAATGCATGGACATTTTCAGTTCTCAGGAAAACTCCTGGAACTGCTCTTTTAGCTAAAATGACTCCATGCTCTAGAGTTTCAACTATTCTTTTAGACCAATTTTTGTATGATCATTCTTGATTAATCTCTTCTATTTTCTAGTTTGGAATCTTTCGGACATGCTCATACGATCCTTCCAGTTTTTCATCTTTTGCAGAGTTATTATCTTGAAATTTTAGATTATTTCTATATTTGTCTTTCTTACATTGTGGTGCACTGGTGGGAGAGGTCTCGGGTTCGAGCCCTGGGTATGGAGAAAATTGCCACCCCCGAATGGGCCCTGCAGTGCGCTGTCCAGATTTAGTCGGAGCTCCAATGTGGGCTCCGGACACCGGGTGGGAAACCAAAAAAATTTGAAGTCTCTTCTTTGTTTATACAGTCCTCTACTTTACCTTGAGGTCTCAAATTTGGTGTCTCGAGCACTATCATCTGATCTCATCATTGATTACTTATCAATTTCTTGAAACTTGCAGTTTGCCCTACAACTTTGAAAAGAATATGCAGGCAACATGGAATTACCAGGTGGCCTTCTCGTAAGATCAAGAAAGTTGGCCACTCGTTACAGAAACTTCAACTTGTGATCGATTCAGTCCATGGTGCTGAAGGTGCAATTAAACTCAGTTCTTTCTACACCAACTTCCCTGAACTTAGCTCTCCAAATAATCCCAGGACCAGCAACTTCTCTGCTTCTAAAAACAATGATCATCTGCAGCAAGTAAATACTCAACCTGATGGCAGCCCTGTGACCACCACATCCAAGTCAACTTCTTCGTCTGGCAGTCATAACTCTAGCTCAAGTTTATTCTGTTCCACTGGTTCAAAGAATTTATTTCCTTGTACAAATGTCTTTTCCACAACGGAGGAAAATCCTGGAGGAATGCTAAAGAGAGCACATACAGAAACAGAATTGCATGATATGGGTCAAGAAGAAACCAAGCTTCTGGTCAGATCACAGAGTCAAAAGATCCAAAGCAATCACAATTCTGTGGAACCTCTGTGTCCTTTGCCAACGAGTAGCAATCAGGTTTTACGGGATTCAGGTACATTTAAAGTAAAAGCCATTTTTGGGAAGGATAAAATCCGTTTCAGCCTGCAATCACACTGGGGTTTTGGAGATGTTAAGCACGAGGTGATGAGGCGTTTCAATGTAGAAGATGTTGGTAAAATCGACCTAAAGTATTTGGATGATGATGACGAATGGGTGCTTCTGACATGTGATGCTGATCTTGAGGAATGTGTTGATATACATAAATTCTCTAAAAGGAGAACAATTAAAGTTTCCCTCCACCATACTTACCGTACCAATCTTGGAAGTTCATTTGGTAGCAGCGGTCCAGCCTAAGTGTTTCCAGATTTGGGGTATATGGAGTATTATTGGCAGTTGCATGCATGTAAGTAGAAAGAAGGGCTTATTTCACTTTCTTTCTTAGTGTTAATAGTTGATGCGGGAAGATGGCAGATCCATGGTCAATCCGCCACCCTAGCTACATGCAGTTATTTGACATTCTTGCTGATTGCACACTGCATACCCATTGTATCGTCTTTTTTTTTTTTTTTTTTAAAATCAATCAATGGGAATGTAATATAGAACATACAATTAAGAACCAGGTGAGATGGACGTTCAGTCATGCTGATTGGGGCACTTTGGCATGGTTCGAGGTGGAATAGTCTTCCATTTCACATTCAATGGGCTGCAGACGTTTTGGATGATGTTTTTCAGTGTCTAATTATCTACTTTTTCTAAGTTCCAACCTTGTGTATTTAGTAGCTCCAGGAGACTAGACAAACTGATTTAATAGATAGATAGGTATTCAGTTTGTGTATCTTTCTGATTTAACGAAGAAGGAAATTCTGAGGGATGAGTTTTTTTAATAGTAATTTGGCAAAACATCCCAATTTTTTCATTTTTAACGTGATGGCTCGGTTTAGTTGAATTTTGATAAGATAATTTACTACGTTAAAATGAATAGCTTCTACTTACACCTAAGACATGAGGTAACATCTAATGACGGTGATAAATATTGCAACCGCAACTATACTAGTATTGTCTTGGTAACACAATTGGGGCCAGGCTAGCTACCAATTCCCGAATCTCAGTCGCCCCTGTCCACCTTTTTTTTCCAAGTATATATATTTCAAAAGAAAGATTGCTCTTTAGCCATCTACTTAAAAACAAAAATGAATCCCCTATCCGCAGGTAATGTCCATTTTCATGCTCGAGTGCAGTTGCTGAATAGCAAACTGCAATTCATCAGACAAACAATGGTGGTTTTCTCCCGCAAGAAACCTGCAAGCCTTACCATTTACATACACTAAGCTATAGCCAGCTGTAACTTTGACCCCTCCTTCCTTAGCCAGCATTCTCATTTTAGTGGCATCAACCCATGAACGACCTGATGCATACATGTTTGATGCAAGCAGATAGCCAGCTGAGCTTGACGGCTCAAGTTCAACTACTTGAGGGAGGGCAATGGCACCAAACTCATAGCTTTCATAGTTCCTACAAGCACTCAAGAGTGCCCCCCATGCACTTGCACCAGGCTTTAGTCCAACACCTAGCTTTCCTATCAAATTCATTGCACTATCAACCTTTCCAGCCCGAGCTAACAAATCTACAAGGCAAGAGTAATGTTCTATGCCAGGTTCAACCTCATGATCCCAAATCAACTCCTCAAAAAGAGAGAGCCCTTCTTCTACCAATCCCCCATGACTACAAGCCGATAAAAGAGATAATGCAGTAACTTGGTTTGGCCTCAGACCACAAACTTTCATCTCAGCAAGTAGGGATAGAGCTTCATTTGGGAGGCCAATCATACCATATGCTGCAATAATGGCACTCCAGGTCACAACATTCTTGTATGGAATCCGGTCAAACACTTTTCTTGAGGATCCAATAGAACCACATTTTGAGTACATATCTAAGATCGCAGTTCCCACTACCACATTAGATGCCAACCCTCCTCGAATAGCAATGCCATGAGCCCACCTTGATCTTTTCATATCTGCAGAAAGAGCGCAAGCTTCAAGAAGATTTAACATGGTAACGGCATTGGGCCGTTCAGAGGTGTGGCTCATCTCTCGGAAAACAGCAATTGCTTCGTCAGGCATTCCACAGTGGGTGAAGCCAGCAATCATGGTGCTCCAAGTTACTGCATCTCGTGTTGTCATATTATTAAATTGACTCCATGCATAAGTTATGAGATTGCAACTTGCATATGCATCGATCAAAGAGTTTGTAACCAACTCATTCAACTCAAAACCTTGTCGAAGTATTCTGGAATGTATCAACTTGCACTGGCAAGGGTCAAGGAAGAACTTACATAACTGCAGCAGATTGACCAGAGTCACCTCATCAGATTTAATTCCAGCCTTGCGCATCGAATCAAATAAAGTAAGGGCCTCAGAATGCATCTCATTCTGCACAAGTCCAGACAACAAAGAGTTCCAGGACACGACATTCTTCTCAGGAATTCCCCGGAAAACTCTCAATGAAGAATCAATGTCATTGCATTTAGAATACAAGTCGATCAGAGAGTTGTATACGAACAAATCATAACCCAGACCTCTAGAGATAACTAATCCGTGAATTGACTCTCCCATTCTAATGGCCTTCAATTTGGTGCAGGCTTTGAGTACACTTACCACAGATTGTCCGTCTGGTGGTTTCCCAAAGTCAATCATCCGTTGAAAAAACTCCAGGGAAAGCACTGTTTCGTTCTCACTTTGGGCATAGGCAGCAATCATGGCACTCCAAGAAATAACGTCTCTTTCAGTCATTTCATCAAAAAGGTTGTGCGCAAGGTGCATTCCGAATTGAGCATAGAAACTGAGGAGCGAGTTGTGGATGGAAGTAATACTTGAATACCCAGCACGAAGGGTAGAAGCATGGATCGTCCGGCCAGCCTCAAAAGCTGTAAGATTGCGACAAGCCTGAATGACAAGTACAAAAGTGGAGATGTTGGGTTCAAAACCTGCAGCCCAAGCCTGAGTGAAGAAGCATAATCCTTGGGGAGAAGCAGCTCGCTCTAATAAGTGGCCATGAATGATTACATTCCAGGAAACTGAATCTTTGTTGCCCATGCAGTTAAAAACAACAAGCGCAGAACCCAAGTCCCCAGATTTAGCATAGAAGTCCATCATAGAATTACCGACGGAAGTGAAAGCTAAGAATCCCTGCTTAACCAGAGAGGCGTGGATAGAGTTGCCGCCGTGGCCGTGTGTAGCGGAGAGATTTAAACATGCTTTGAAAAGGATAGGGAAAACGGAATGGTCCGGCAACTCAACCCCGGTCTTGTTCAATTCACGGTAGTGGAGAAGAACGTCTTGAGATTTGCCATGACATAGTAATTCTCTTAACTTACTACACCAGTTAGAGTTCCAACGGACACGCATTTAGTTTAGTTTAGACAGAGATGGGCTAATCTCTTTCACCTTCAATGCAATATTATTATTATCACAACTCACTACACTACTCTACTCTACTCTTGTTATCTTTTATATATATACTAGATGATTTTTGCCCGTGCTCCCAACATTTTTAATTCTGATGTTATTTCAGTTGTGCTTGATCTACCAGAAATGTGTCTGAAATCCAAAGTAGCAATAAATACTTTTCATTAACCTAATTTTAGAAACATAACACCCCATCATTTAGTAACAGATCATATTCCTAGGCTTACATACATAATAATAATAATAATAAAAAATAAAAAAATAAAAACAATCCACACAATAAGAAACTATTAAGGTGCATTGTCGTTTCTCTTAAGTTTCAACGATCAATTCAATATTAAGTTGGTCAGATTCAGAATCTACGATCAATTCAATATTGAGTTGGTCAGATTTAGAATCTATTGATAAAGAACTCAATATGGAAATTTACAATGTGTTTACAAGTGTTTCCTTTTCGTTTTGTAAAGAAAAAATTAGCATTTTATCATCAAACACCCTACTCAAAAATCAGAACATGGCAATAGGTGTCGAATTTAGTTAATTCATTCAAAGTACAAAAGATAAGGGTGCCTAACTACAGCTCGTGAACAAAAAATGTATAGGAGACTCGCATCCATTTTAAAATCATGAAAGAAGCGATCTGATTTAAGAGTTGTTATCCTCTAAGATGTTCATAAAACATTCCCTTTAAGAGTCGTCATCAAGAAACTTGTGCTAGCTCCTTCCAAATTGTTGCACTATAAGTTGTTATCAGTAATACGAAAGCTTGAGACAAGTAACTCGGAGGTTGTTGGGACCATTGCTATAAGTTACACTTTCATCTAAATTCATCTCGCACAATACTTTCCATATCAGTAGCCAATGTTTGCTATTCCACAAACCAAATTTTTTGAGGAGGAGTTTTGAAGTACCTTCAAAGATCCAAAAAATAATAATTCAATCAACTAAAAATATAAAATAAACAGAGTGCAAAAATAGATATTAGAGAGTTATAAAGTAAAAAGAGACATTTGTTTTCTCTATTGCACATACATTTTGCAGAAGAAAATTCAATGAATAGATCCTCGTACTATAGTTGATGACAAATTGACAGCATTTTTTTCTTGAAAAAAAACAATCAGTAAAAGAATTTGATGTTTACAATGACCTTTTCAAACCATACAAGCCTACAAGGTGTGGGACATAAGAAAAGCTGAAGAATAGGATGGCAATTTTTTTACCTGGATGTAGCTTGAAGATACACTCCTCTTTACATGGAGCATCTCGTGGAAGATATCCTTGTTACCATGCTACACCTCTAACTCATGCCACTTGTTCTAGAAATCAGGGTTAGATCTAGGGTATGTGAATTGAGATGAGTGCTTGTATAGTGCACGGGCTTGATCAATATCTTCTAGGCACTTCTCAAGTTCAGCATACTTTAAGCACATAACTTTTGTGTCCTTGTCTGGAAGCCCAGACTCAATTACATGTTAATATATCTTATGTGTTCTTGGAACACTAAATATCTCAGCATAGAGCAGAGTGATAGTTGCAAATGCCACACCAAATGAAAAAAATAAGTACATCAGATTGTATTGATACCAACATATATATTCAATTTCAAAAAGTAATAACTCGAGTTGTAGAAATATAATATTAGTTAGCAATAGAATTTACTGCCGACATATTAAATCCTCTTATCTATATAGTTGCTTATATGTGAATCTTGCAGTAATGTTTTGGGTCATGTTGCTTGAAATCTCTCAAAATATTGCCACTCTCATGTTGGATTCTCCAAAATGTATTATTTTTGAAGTATCCACGATAATTTTTAAAAGTCTCAGTAATATAGATTTCAAGATATCTCAATTTCAGTCAATCAATTACAACTTCAAGTTTTAGAAATAGCATATCCAACACAACATGATAAAACTATACAAATGCAACTACATCCATCTATATAACTTCAACTGCAGGAAATTCACCATGAAACTACTTCTTTTACCTACTTATCATGTGAATGCCTCAGAAAATTCGTTGACTTATTTAATTTTTTCATTATGCAGTCATATCTCTTGGACCAACTTCTACTATCTTTACGCTTGGATAGATCTAGGAAGCTACACAAAATTAGCATAAAGTTGAGCAATTTAATGAAGTACATTAAGTCCATCATCCACAAGTTAGATCATTATTTTTTTTAACTACAAGTAGAAAAAGCAGCATATCTATATCACCAATATCGATAAATACCAACAAATAACAGAAGAATGTGTTTCTAACATTCTTAATACGTTCATGGATGCTAGTAGAAGATAGTTGGTCCATTCTTAATACGTTCATGGATGCTAGTAGAAGATAGTTGGCCCCTCATGGAATTAGTTGCGGTGTGCACAAGATGACTGGAACACCATAGTAATCAAAAGAAAATACCCTAACGTCAGCTCCAAGCCTCCCACCACACTTCTATTCCAAAAATTACAAGTTCTGCTGGTGCATCTAAAATATACAGAGATAACGATAGAAGTTATCCTGAAAATAGCAATGGTTTCTTTACATGGATACTGAGTGGAAGACATCATATTCTACAAAAAAAAATGTCTTTTAATTTGTTTTGTTGACACTCTATAGCAATTTTTTAATAAAACAAAATTAACAGTGTAACAGTAACTACAAAGAAATAAATTTCTACTTTTCTCATCAGATAATATTTTTGAAGATAAAGAATCTTTAAAAAACATTCATAGTTGAAGCTTGTTTCCAAAATGGAACAAATAATGTGAAGTGATTAATAAGTCTAGACCAACATCTTCATAAAAAACAAATAATTATCACAACAATCAAAATATAGTTTTGATCACTTAACATGTCATGTTTAATACTGAGGAAAAACAATTCATATCAAGAAGGATGCAAAAAAATTACACCACTTTTAGATAGACATGTTAGTATCTTTAGATCGAGTAAATCATGATCTAATTAAGTTTCTCATATCAACAAATATTTCTTTATTAAACTTCTTCTAAGGTTACATTTTAAGCATACACCAAATTTTATTTTTTTTCTCTATACAAATAAAGAAGGTACTCATACTATAATTATGGTGATAAAATGATATAATAGCGAAAAAGGGGACATCGAAGAGTAGTACTTACTTTTGCAATTGTCTCTTTTCACAACAAACCAAAAAAAAAAAAAAGCAGAACAAAGCATAAGCAACTTATCTGCGGTCAATTTTGTATAACCCAGAAGAAAAGAAAACTTACTATTTTTAAGCAAATATCATTGTGAGACCACAAAACTACTAAAGCATGTTGAGAGGCATATGAAATGTAAAATCAGTTAATAAGATCCTTGAGATGTAGGCAACATATCATCTGGAAAAAAAAATTCTAAAACAATAGGGAGAGAATTTAGAAAGACAACCCTATTTTCTTGTTATACATGACATGCTTTCAAAGTACCCTTTTTAAGGCAACCCTTTGTTCAAACTTGCACAAAGGGTAGTGATTTTAACTATTAAGAGAAAGTTTTAATGATCTCAAAGTAACTGAAAAATACAACACTTTAACTTGGTGATAATAATTTAAGATAAAATTTGTCAATATGCAGCTAACAACGGTGATAACTGCTCAAGTCTCCATTGATTGAGGAGGTACTCTTTTGAGAAACTTCAAGTCTGAAATTTTTTGTTGATAAAGTCGAGTGGGATCAAAAATGCAAAAAAAAATAAAATCAAACAAAGGTGAATCGAAAATTGAAAAAATGGAAGGAAACAGATAAAACTTCAACCAAATATTAAAAGGAAACCATACCTGGCTATTGGTGACTCACTGATTTGAAGAAGATGAAGAGAAGAGTTGCTTATGCAAGCTGCGTCGCTGTGACTTTTTTGCTTTTTTTTTTGGGGAGTTTGAAATAGAGAGAACCGGATTCTTCTAGACTAACAACACAATTACTATTTTGCCCTTATATGAACCTAATATTACAAAACTATCCTTGGTCGTCATTGTTCTTCACTCTTCAATATAATAGAAATATATATATACACTCCCTCCGTCCCATTTTATGTGGCACTTTTCGAATTTCGAGATTCAAACAAGTCTATCTTTGACCATAAATTGTTCATAGATCCTTTAAGCATTTTGAATTATCAATTATTGTGACTTATAGTTCTTTTTACGTAGTTTACAAATATATAAATTTCATTTCAAAAAATTGAAGATTCGATGCGCAAGTGCCACATAAATTGGGACAGAGGGAGTGTGTGTGTGTATATATATATATATTGTATTTTATATTGTTTAATAGGCATGGGTGGACCAGCTGTTATGGTTCAATCATAATTTTAATCCAAACTTTGAGGTCTGTTTAGCTTTCCACACAGGAATGTCTATCAAGTGAAGGTAAGCACAAAGGATCTACAAGTTATTTCTGATGGTCAATATGAAACAGCCAAAACAGTCTAAAATGGACAAACAACCATATGCATCATCCTTCTCAAGTTATAGCCACTAATTTGTTAGATGTCGAAAAACAAGTACACCCATACAACATCATTAGGGTACTCTGTTGCTTGCCTATGCTCTCCCAAAATTTCTTGATACCAGAAACTTCAAGATTGACTATAGTAAGATTTTTTCCCCCTTTTCCGATAGCGCAAGGGGTAAGAGAAACTGATTATAAGCAAAACTAACTTGCAAAAACATGAATTTACTATTCCCTGATGTTACAAAGTTGAAGGTATGAATTATTGAACATTACATATCTAGACCAATAAGCTTTGTACTTGGCAATTGCAAGATCCAACCATGGTTTGTAATTTCCATTGTAGTGAACAACTGCCCCATTTTGTATTTCTGATTTGTTCAAGGCGGGATCATAGCCAAGACCCAAGACATGCCAGCTCCGATCCAAAGGATGAGTCAAGTTATAGAAAGTTATTAACCCTGGAGGTAAGGTGCCAAGTTTCCAAAGTGTTCTATCCTCATTCTGCAACGGAAAACATAGTCAGCTGAAAGACCACACAAGGATGAAGATTTTCTTAAAATAGCAAATGACTTTTCTCCTCTAACAGAAGTACTCCTGAACATCAAATGCATTACTACTCTTTGCAAGAGCGAAGCTTGCTATGGAAGACTGACTTTTTAAGGCTAGCCCTTTCCAGTTCAGGAGCAATTTTTGGAAGAAAATCAACTGAATTTCCTCACTTCTCAAATCAAGAGGTCAAGGGAGTAGATAGATGCATTCTAGACATGGTAGATCATAGAAAGAGTTGCAAAAAGCCTGTTAAGTAGGCAATCATTCATTTTTCTAGAAGATTGCGATAAAGCTCAACGGAAAATGAGCAATCATGCATAGGGTATGCAACTTTTCCTTTTATGGGGTGAGGAGGCACTGAGAATAACAAGAGCTGCAACCTAATACAACTATACAATACGATGTTTCTCCAAAACTAGAAATAGGGGTCGCAATTGATATAGCTCTTATCATCAATGTACCATTTCATCACCTCTACTCAAAACCTAAACAAGTCATTGTAATGTCCACGGACATCATTGATGTCATACAGCCTTCTTGTCTTCCATTTTATATTATTATCCGCCTTCTAATTTCCCATTATTCTATTATCTGGGATCCACCCATCATTTTGAAGACTAAACAATGCCCAAATTTGAAAAAAGTCAAATTCTATCTCCACTTATGAACCCATTTACTCAAACGTAATTAAACTTCAACTAGTACCTTAAAAATCATGCCTGAGACACCAATACCAGGAGGTAGGAAGTACATTTCCTGGCAAATTTTGGCACTTCAGTTTGATTCCATAACATCTATCTACACTCAAGCAAACGATGGTACTTACAGCAATAACTCAAGGTTTCAGTCCCATCAGTCTTCTAAAAATACTTCCATTTAATTCTTTGTTTTTCATGATCATGGATCGTTTGGTACACGGGAAGGGATAATCAAGGATATCCCATGGGATTATTTTATCCCACCTTCTATATGGGATATTAATCACACCATTTTAGTACAAATAATGGGATTAAATTATCCCGGGATTAGCTAATACTTCAAACCAAATATGGAATAAAGTAAATCCCAAATTTTAGCCTGGGTTTATTATCATTACCCCACATACCAAACAACCCCTAAGCACATTTATTTTCAATAGTAGTTCCATAGTTCAGATTTTTTATCTGCAGCCTTTTCACCTTATTTGACCATCCAAAGCAGCAACATCTTTATTTATATAAAATATAGTTTAGTGCACTGTCTTAATTTTCAGTAAAATCATATAAACTTAATTAATCAAAACTAAAATGGACATCAAGGCAATGTCTTTCCTGCCTTATAGCCACCCCCGTAGCAGGACCTCTTAAACTCGTGAAAACCTATATGAAATTGGGGGAGATGTGTTTGATGGCCCATTGCAAATGTTCTTTTTTATAGCTATATGGCCCTTTTATAACATAAGAGATCGGTAAATAAAATGCATAATATCTTTGTAGGGTCATTATCTTCTATACAACTGTAATTGGCCATAGGAGATCATTTCCTCGTAAAATTGTGCTGAGTTCATGTCATGGAAAACAAATGAATAAGAAGTTGTGAAAGATTCATGATGATAATATAAAAGAATTCAGATAATTATGATTAGAAGCACCAACTTAAGAATATGTAATATTAACTTACCCTTTCTTGCCAATAATGATATATTCCTGTAATGTTGCGCCTCCTCCACTCCTTCAAATCAAAGACATTCATGCCAAAAGCCCATCCACAGGCATTTGGATCAAAGTTTTCAGATATCTTCGGGTTAGAAAAGTTAAGATATTTATCAAATCTATGGAAGCTTTCTTTGCATGTCTCCACGGCACCATTGACCATCCCTTGTAGGTTGACAGACCAAAGAGGTGTCAGATCCTTCTGAACTACAATATCATCATCCAGAAATAAGATTTTCTCCAGCTTTGGATATACTTTAGGAAGGTAAAACCTAAGATGATTCAGCATTGACAAATACTTTGGGTTCCTATATTTAAGATTGTCGGTGCCAGATGTAAGGGAGTTCGACTGATGTGCCTTGAAATAATACTCTATCATTCTAGCAGATTCAAGCTGACGTAGTACAGGGCAGTAAGTAGAATTTAGCCATGTAAAGTCATCGACATTCTCAACGTGAATTGTTGCAGCAGAAGGAGGATTGACAAGGAACCACATTTTCATAGCTGGGAAGTTCAATTTATCTGTCACTATATGGAAAACGTGCTTTTCAGGCTCCTTCGCATGCAGTATAGTAGAGTTTACAACAACAGATGTGGCAAGTACATTATCAGAAAATATTGCATAATGGAACAGAGAAGGATCTTCAAGCTTTTCCTTGTTCGGAAATTCTCTCTCTTCATATCGACGTATAAAGAAGTCTGTCGTGAGAAGCAAAGGAAGACAATGCAAAGGCCTGGGAACAGTTTTAGCAGCCAGCTGTATCAAGAATGCACTCCTTTTCTTCAGCATATTTAGACCATTTTCGGCCGACTGAAGCATGACTCTTAGTTTCCTTGCTAGTGTCATGCAATCGTATAGTTGATCCTTTGCAGCAGCTAAAACATGGCCCATATCCTTTGCTCGGTCAAGTGCACTGTAGATAAACCCAATATTAGAGACAAAACCTAACATCTAAACTTCAATAACAAAAACTGGAAAGCACCAACCTTGGTTGAAGTTCAGAATCAGAAGTGGCTTCTCCAATTGCAAGCTGGCTTTCTCTAGAATGATTTATCAAAGAATCATACAGAGAATCTTCATTCTTAGCTTTTGCAATGGTAGCATACGCTCTTGCCATGATGATTTGGTCACGCATAAGTTTAAGGGTAGAGTCAGCATTAGGGTTTTCATATTCTTTCCTCCATATATTGTATTTACCCTTGCTAGTTGTGTCAAGCTCTTTAGCTCGCTCAACAGCAGCGTCTTGAATTTGGTTTTCAATTTCCTTATCTTGTTCGATCAGCTCTGCAGTCCGCCGTTCCCTTCTTTCGTTTCTTAGCCTCTGAAGAACCAGGAAGTATCTATGAATTCAAATGACTGAAAAAGCACATGCATGACAACTGTGGAGATATAAGATTAGCCACCTGGCGCTTCAGTTTGATTGGATGCAGCTCAGATGCTGATTTATGCTCCACAACAACTCCATACTGATTTTTGTTTCCATTAGAGTGATCAATAGTGCCCTCAAGTTTATCCGGTTTCTGAGACTTCCCTTCCACTTCCTGTGAACAAGCAGTAAACAGAAGTTGCAGTCTACATCAACAAATTCAAAACTACTATATCCTCATCATTTCAAAGTGTTTTGTCCATTTAATATCACCAAGTAGAGGAATTGTGGAAGTTTGAGAACTGGTCGGTAAACACAGACCTTGGAACTCTTCTTGTGATCACCATCCTCATCACTAGGATACCTCCATATCCATGAAGTTGACAAGTCCTTGGAGTTTATGCTCCTAGTTCTAACAGCACCATTAGCATCAGTATATGTTACAAGGATGCCAATATTCTGCATTAAGGGCAGAAGATCATCATAATATGGTATATATAGATTAAAAGTAAATAAATCTAAAGCAGAAAAGAATTTTCTAGTCATTATATACTGTTTCTATGAAATCAAAACCAGTTGATTACTTTCTCATCAGGACGAGCAGCACTAATTCGACCATGTTCCTGCAAAGAAATTTCAGAGTTAATGTCATATAAGGCAAATGGGATGCAAAAATAAAAGACAGTGTTTCATAGAGGCAAAAATCTTATGAGATATAGATAATGGCTTTCAAATCAACTAAATAAACTCTCATTATTCAACATTCAAGTAATCATACTGAGAGCCAAGTGCACAATTTTCTGGTCCCTTTTCCTAGCATTATATCAACATTTCTACAAATGCAATGTTAGGAAATTTAAGCTGTGTCAAAAGAGAAAGAAAAAGACAACTCCAATTAAAAGCTAGGTTAACAAAAAAACACTTTCCTAATTTACGTTTAAGAAATAAAAGATCATCCAAGTATATCATCAGATAGTGATGTTTGAATTCTTTCTCTGAGAAAGGGATAATTACTGCACAGCTAATAAAGTACTGGTTGTAACACAACCAGATTTTCAATATAACAAAAACAAGATAGGTGATGCAGATCTCCAGGATCAGCATAGCTTGAACTGGCACCAAAAAAGTTGCCTAAACAATTACCAGATTTCAGAGGATGAACTTAATATAGGAACTCTAGTTTTGTGCTATAAGAGCAGATGGTGTAACAATATTCTGCAGTTTTATTGGGACATTTTCATGGATTTGAGGCGGATAAAGATGTTCAATATATAGGAATATCACATGGTAGAAGCATGACTGACACATAGAAACAAAGAGAAGTATTATTAACCTTTCTATTAATGCATTGCGGACAATCATATGAGGGGAAAAGACCTTTCAGCTCTCCCCGACTGAAAATAGGAGGAAGAGAAGTCAGGTAACATTGATTAGTTGCAGCAGCAAAATTTACAAAGTATAGAGAAGGAGTGATCTTACAGTGATGATACATTTGACAATTCTACTGGGGAAGGTGCAACCTGAATAAAAATGAGAACAAAGAGCTAAGTGAAGCTCCAATAATATAATTTTGAATAAAAAACAAGACAACAACAATATCGGTAAACCTCTTTCAAAATTACGAGATCCAGGGCGACACTAACACGATTAATGAATAGAGATTCAGGAAGAAAGAGAAGGCCAATTAGATGCGCAACGATATTACTCAGAGAGAAAGATTTACCAGGAAGAAGAAGAAGAAGATTAGCAAGGTAGGGGATATGAACGATCCTTTAAAACGAGCCTCCATGGCCAACCAAAATTAGAAAGAAGAGACCTCTGACAGTGGGATCAATTATATTAGTATTGCGCCATTTTTCTGCATTCAACCTCAACTCAGCTTGGGCCTTGGCAGATGAACAACTTTCTCTTCTTTTTTTGTCAATTTTTTAAGAGAGGGACAAATTTCTGCATTTTAGCATAAGAGGGAACCAATTTTTACATTTTACCATAATATTCCACTTTCGGCAACAATATTCTATTCTCGTCCTTCACGTAATTCAACTCTCCTATTGCTCAGTAAGAGTACTAATACAAATTAGTTTAAAATTAGTTAGTTTGAAGCAGAATGTAGCTCAAACATGGTCTCAGATATGGTCAAAATCAAATGGCAACCCTAATTACTATTTTTAAAGGGAAAAGCGCTTGATATACCTTCAACTTTGTCATTTGGAGCTGATATGTCCTCGTTATGAAAGTGGCTCATATATATCCTTACCATTATACGGCTCACATATACCCCTACCTTACAAAATGAGCTCACATATACCCTTCATTTAACGAAAGTGAAAAAATTAGTTTTAAATTTATATTTTTGACTTTTAATTTTCTTAAAAATTATTTAGGGGTATATATGATTCTTCTAACAAAGTTCAAGGTATATTTTAATATTTTTCATACATAAATTATTTTTTGACTTCTTTTATTATAATTTTGAGTTTTTTATTCTTGTTTTATTTTTTTCTTTCATTCCTTGGTGTAAAGAAAAAAATTTAAAACTATTTTTTTGTGGCTATATTATAATTTAAAGCTTTTTTTTTTGTCTATATTGTAATTTAATTTTTGTATTTGAAGAAAAAAATGTGATCATCTATAATAAGTTTTACAAGAATATTAGTGAAACATAAATAAATTTGACCATCAAAATATAAGTCTAAATTAGTCAATGAAACAAAAAAAAAGTCAAAAAAATATATATGTTTGAGGAGGATTAAATATACTCATATGGGATTACATTTTAAAAAATAATAATAATAAAAAACTAAACTAATTTTTTTTTTCATTTCCATTAAAGGGAAAGGGTATATGTGAGTCATTTGTATATAAATAGGAAGTATATATGAGCCACTTTCATAACGAGAGGTATATCAGTTCTAAATGACAAAGTTGAGGGGTATATCAGACCATTTTTCCTTTTTAAAATAATAATAGTATTTTTTAAAAATTTGTTGAGATGCAAAATTGCATATAATTTTTTTATAATTGATTTCTTTATTCATTAGATTTGACAAGCTTCTTTTAATATTTTTTTTCTTTCATGCGAAAAGTTTACTTTTTCTAACAAGAGTATTCAATATATTTTTTTAAAAAAAAAAAAAATCATAATCTATTATTGCTAAAAAAATAAAAAATAATAATAATAAATCCCCTCAAATTTAAGTGTAAGAGCCTTGCAGTTTTTTCTAACCTTGTAGTTGTAGAGAGCCGGCATTGAATACACTAATCACGTTATTGCTAAAATAATGCTACTTAAAAAAATCTTTGTGTATCCTTTAGTTGGTTAAGGTTAATTTATTTGTAGTGCTTTTCATGTTATTGCTAAAATAGTGCTACTTATTAATTCTCTCTTATATTCTTTAGTAGGTTAAGGTAGACTTATCAGTTATTTGTAGCGTTTTTCATGTTATTACTACTTGTTATTTTCAAATTGTAATAAATTATTTGTAGGTTAACATCTTTATTGTAATGACCGAAGAATATGAAATCTAGATTTGTTTTGGTATACATAAATAATTTGAATTTAGTCAAACATCAAACATGAGTAATGTATTGAAGTGCTGATATTGTACATATGAATTAAACATTTAGAAAGTTCTTTGACAAATAATAATATGAACTGTCCATCTAAGTTATCTCAAATGCATACACTCGGATAATTTTGTATAGCATAACGCCACAAAAAGAATATGCAAGTCCTGATTACTTCACTACAACACCCCCTTTAGGATTCTGTTGGATGCCTAAATTCTTCCACAATATTTTATCTAAAAGTTAATTGTATGTTAAAATAAATAAATTACTTTTTGCGAAAGAGGTAGCTTGGAATGCCACCTAAATTGAGAAAAATAAAAAAAGAACATATCAAAGAGAAACCAGAAATGGATCCATGAAGCAGAGATTAGAATAGAGATGGTGATTCTAGGAATACATATATCTCAAAATTAGAGATACATCAACTCTGTGTGCAGTGCAGGTGTTGATTATCTGCTTCCAGTTTCTAACTTCTCATCACCAGGCACACTATCATGCATACTCAACCATATCCATAACACAGGGGACTGGAAGTCTTGAATCTCCTTCAATGTACAAAATAATGAACTCTTTACATATATCACTGAAACAAGCACAACCCAATGCCATACAGAGCCTTGACACTTCATCTCACAAGCTCAGACGTCAGGCAACCAAAAAAAAAAAAAAAAGACAACATTTGTATTTGGACAACTAAGTTAACATAGCTATATAGTAGTATCATATTCATGATGCTCTTCTTGGGAGTGGATAGGCTCGATTTACATCGTTCCTTGGATGAAGTGGAGAACGATGGTGCAAAGGTGGCTGACCGTATCTATAAGCAGTCTGATGTCTGGATGTTATTCTAGGCTCCTTGGGTCTTTCATTGGCTGCCTCAATCTGTTCTAGTTTCTCCACTACTTCTTTCATTCCTGGTCTGGTTTTAGGTTCAGGTCCAAGACATGACAGTGCCAGTTGTGCTATTTGAACTGCAGCTCTGGATGGATATCTTCCTTCCAGCCGCGAATCCATCTTGTCCTTCAACTTCCTTCTATCAGATAAATGTGGCTTAATCCATTCAACCAGATTATGCTGATTGCTTGGGCGGTTTGTGTCTAGTGTCCGTAGACCTGTTAGCATTTCCACTAACACAACACCAAAACCATAGACATCGCTTTTCACATACAAGTGTCCTGCCAAAAAATGACGATACAAGTATGAACATACATTTACTCGGATTTGACTGTATATATGTTTGAACATGTAAGCACAAGATGTGATTCCAGAGAAGTATAACTACCAAGTATAGAAGCCTAACGGACACTAAGTTTACCTGTTTGAACATACTCAGGAGCAGCATAACCATACGTTCCCATCACCCGTGTTGTCACATGTGATTGACTAGCCGAAGGACCGAGTTTGGCCAAGCCAAAATCTGATATCTTTGCATTGTAAGACTGAAATCAAAAGGAATTAAAGAATGTCATGTAACAGTTATATCAGCTAGTAAGGTTTTGTCACTCTGAGATCAAGAGCTCAAAACTTAAGGCAAAACATTAAGTCAACCACAAAGGTGCTCAGGGTTTGTGGTGAATGAAATAATCAATGGGATCAATTTGTGATCTCTATATTACTTGTGATAAGAACCTACACGACAATGTTCCAGGGGAAAAGAAAAAGAAACATACGCCATCAAGTAATATATTTGAGGCCTTGAAGTCTCTGTAAATGACTTGCTTCTCTGATGCATGTAGGAATGCCAAGCCTCGGGCTGCACCGATCACTATTTGAAGCCTTATATTCCATGGAAGTGGCTGAACAGCAGAGCCCCCTGAGCAAACCGAAGAGAACAAATATGTTTAGGTGGAGAATAAAATAGGCACATTCCTAACTGATTTATTCTAGAAAATCCTATATATCATTGAGAGTATATAGCTCATCTCTTACTTCCAAAAAGATGGTTCTCCAAGCTGCCCTTTTGCATAAACTCATAGACAAGCAATAGTTCTTTATCTTCCCAGCAGTATCCCAAGAGTTTGACCAGGTTAGGATGTGAAAGTGTTCCAAGAAAATTAACCTCACACTGCATAAACAAATGAAATGAAATACACAAAGAGCCTTGGGAAAAAAAAATGAGCATCTATACCAGCAATAAAACTAATTTTAACTTGTAATAGTTCCTAGTCTAGTCAATGACGAACAAAAACTGAGTGAAATTTAGTAGAAAGCAATAGCTTGTGCTCAAAAGTTGTTGATAGTAATCAATCAACTAAAGTTAGCAGAAGACCCACGTTCCAATATATATGGATAAAAAAGCTGTCTGGGCAAATGAGAAAGTAGAAAGGTGTTTTAGAAACACATCCTCTGCATAACAAAAGCAAGACTCTGACAATCCATCCAACTCAAACTTAATCTATTTGTGGAGAAGGAGAATATATTTGAAGGAAATTTACCTGCCACTCTTCAAGTCCTTGTAAACTTTCAGAATTCAATTTCTTAACAGCAATGACAGTGCCAGTGCCACTAGCAGTCCTGGATGAAGCCCTGTCATCAAGCCAACCCTTGTAAACTTTGCCAAAACCGCCTTCTCCCAGGACGGTATCACTTCTAAAATTTCTTGTAGCGGTCTTGAGTTCGGTAAAAGAAAATGTCCTTAAATTAGGATGCGGTAATATCTGTCCCCCATTTCGATACACCTCATCAACTCCTCCGCCGCTGGCTGCTGAGAATTGGCTATTCCCGGAGACGTTGCTTACAGTTGAGGATGTCGTGTTGCTCGTCGTCTGTGATATGCCTACAAGATATAATAATTTCGATGCAGAAGCACAAGTTAAGAAAGTTATTCGGAATCCGAATAAATAAATAAATCAAGTTGGTACCTGAGCTGAAATGGGCAGTGGTAGATGGGCTCTGATTATTAGAACTGAAACAAACTCCCATATCTCTGATCTCTCATACGTTTTTCTCCAGCACAAAGAAAGAAAGAAAGAAAGAAAGAAAGAAAGATGGGTTGGGAAGAGATTGAGATCTCTTCTATTCTATTCTATTCTATTTGCAGCTTCTGCCTCCTCATCAATCGATCACCCAACCTTGTTTGACTTGACTCAAATTTCATTTTTACTTTTCTATTCAATCAACACTCCTAGTCGTAGTTGGTTGTTGTAAATTTTCAACTATGACTTAGTCTTTTCCGCCTCATTCATATCTTACCATTCCATCCCTACTACTTTCCCTTTTATTTATAACAAAAAACAAACATATTCTACTTACTAATTGGTTTAACTATCTAAACTCTTCTTGTAATTCTTTCCCATAATTCTCATATAGTATTAAATAAAATTTCCTTGGCGTTAAAATTCTATTATTATTTTAATATGACAAAAATAGCATAGTAATTTTACAGTTAAAGTTGGTAATATGATAAAGATAGTTGTGTAACCTCGTAGATTTAATATTTGGGAAAGTGTATAGTCCGTCACACAAAGCAAAATCTGTGAGATTGGAGTCCAATTATTCTCTACATAATTTTAGCCTACCCTGAAATTGAATGTCTACCTTTCTTTATTAATCATCTTTCACAAAAGAAAAAAATATAGGAATAATGTTTTATGTTTATGTTGTCTGAAAGGAGAACATTATGCCATATTTAATTGCATAAGTTCAATGTGACCAATTTTCCTACACCTTCAACCCTGACGCGGATTTGGCCTATTTTGATGCCAAGTCAAACATATACATTATTTAAATTTGGACAAAAAGAATTCTTTAAAGTTAATTTCCACTATGTATATTCTGAGAAAATTTTATCAATGTCATTTTTTATTCCCTTCCAACTATAATTTTTATGTCTTACAAAATAATATTCATAACAAAAACCTTTTTCTTTAAGTAGATTTTTTAGTTGACAACTTGATATTATTTTAAATTTTTATTTTTAATGTTATGTAAGATAAAACCTAAGCTAACTTTAGATACACAAAAAAAATAAAACTTAGTCATTTAGTTTTAAGTATATCAACCAAAGATGCTATCTCGATCCAAATTTTAAAGTACTGCAAAGAGGTAATTTGTATTTATGTGTGTTATATGAATTAGTTTAAGTTCTCTTGTCAATTAATTATTCCAGAAAAAAAAACATAATTTCATTTGCAATATTGTTTATCCAAGCATCTAATAGTTGAATCATTTGATTAGTAGGAATATAAAAGTCCATCCTCAAAATTAACAATAATCTATATTTTCTATACTCAAATTAATTAATCATCCTCATTAGATAATAAGACTTCATTAATTCAATATGATTGAAGACTTAGATTGATATAAAACTAAATGGCTAGATTCATTAATATTTTTATGTCCAAAATTAGTCTACATGAGATGAAAAAAAAAAGTTAGTATGTCATGAGATGCTAATTTAAATTTAAAAGATAATAAAAGATTCCTTATAGAAAATGTCATAAATGAAAGGAGTATAATTTGGCACCTCATTTGTATTTATATATTAAAAAATATAAGAAGCAAATGTGTAATAGAGAAATGGCAAGTCGAGTCAAAGGACGAGGGCGGAGATCGTCAAAAATCAAAATAGAGAAGCTAGCTAGCCAACTCCCATCAATAGACAATAAAATACTATTAAATGCGATAGATGTCTCACTTGTTTTCAAGGAAATTTAGTCAAAGTCTACCATGCCCGGTCTCTTCCTTTTATACCATTTTAATTATTTAACTTTACGTCTATAATGCTAATTTGACTTGGGCCTCATTTTGTTATGTGCATTTACACTGTTAACAACTTTAGGACCTTCAAATTCCAACCTTTCATAGCGTATAATCAAAATTTTAACTTAAATTATTGCATCACATAAATTGAGACAAAGAATATATATTGGTGTTAAATTTTTTTAAAAAAAATTTTATATTGATTGAAACTTGAAGTTGTATTTGAAATAAAAATTAGTATTTAAAGTTTTGTAAATGAGAATATGAAAAAGAAAAGAAGTCGTAGTTTTTTCAAAAGTTAAAATTACAAATATAGTATTCAAGTATGAAATTGAAATAGGAAGAGGAAAGAAAGGCGACCGTTGAATTTTTATTTTCTTACGGAAAGATGGAAGACGAAACACTTGTTTGGTGTGAAAAGTTTTCTGGTGATACAAAAGAACGTCAGGTAAACTCAATCTTTTTTTTTCCTTTTATGTGTGTGAAATAATAATAATTAAATAAAAAAAAGGTAGATGTGTATTTTGAGCATGCATGCATGTTAATTTACCCAATGTGAATTAATATACATATTTTGCTCATGGGTAAGCTTAGACTTGTATATCATCATCATCATGCATACGCTTTCTAGCAAATTCAACAATCAAAACTATCTACTTTTCCTTTACTAACCATCTCTATTTCTCTAAAATAGTTTTTTCAATATATAATATATGATCAAATTAATTATTTTTATTCCATTCATTTCTCCAAAATTCAAATTCACTTTTGATTTTTCATTTCAGAAATTTATTTGTTCTACATATACATCAGATTAAAAGATTCATTTTTTGAGGGGGAAAAACAAAACAAAGAGAGAGATTGATAATCTAAAAAGTAAAATAGAGATAACACATAAAAATTAATTAAAATAGGAAGTAGAAAATCATGTCTATTAATTAATAAAAAAAAATTAAGTAATTGGTTTTTTTGGTCGAACAAGGATACATATATTAAGTAATTGTTTTATATATACTAGTACTAGTCTACAAGGGTGGTTCAATGCCTTTAAAGATGAGGCTAGAGCCGTCAAAAAGGGCTAAGCTCATGGGTCTGGTCTGATCCAACCCGTTATTGGGATAGGGTTGAGATAGTATTTTAGAAGCCCGTTTAAAATTGGGGTCGAACCGGGGTCGGCCCATGGGCCAAATTATTTAATTTTAATTAAAATAAATATTAAAAAAATAAGAATAAAAAACTAGAAAACTTAAGTAAGTGTTTGTGGAGATTTTCTAAGGAGTTTACCTCATGAATTTCTTTATTATTTAGTTTTGAATATAAGACTTGGATAGTAGACACTATTTAGATTATATGTGATAGAATGTTTTATGGCTTTAACAATTAATTAGTTTCTTGATTTCATTTAACAAATTACTTTAAGTAATTATGTATTGCTAACTAAAGTTTTAGTCAGAAGTGTTCTTTAGTTTACTAGTTTGTTTTTCAGTTATTATTTACTTAAGAAATTATAATTTTTTACTTTAAATATTTATTGCTAGATTTTATATAAAATTATTGAAACAATGTTACTGTTTGTGACATTGATTTGACATATAAAAAAAAAGGGCCGGCCCGCCCCAGCCCTTGACCCTTCTGGGGTTGGGCCGGGTTGACCATTTTACAGCCCTCTGAAATGAAGGGCCGGCCCGCCCCAGCCCATCAAATTCTTTGGCCCACGAGGTTTGGGCGGGGTAGGGCTGGGCTGACCCGTTTTAACAGTTCTAGATGAGGCATATGCCTTAGGCCCCCAAAATCGAAGGGCCTAATTTTTTAGTAATAATAAAATTATCTTAAACTTTTTTTAACCAAAAAAAATAAGAATGTTTTAATTTGTTTCGAAACATTAAAGAATGTTTCTTTTTTATGGATCAGTTTTTAAATTTAACTTCCACATGATATGTTTAAGATCACAAGATTAAAAAATATTTTAGTATATATATATCTTTAATTTAAGATCATAAAAAATAAGACTTTTTTATTAAAAAGAAAAGAAATAACTTGAATCTCAGATATAAAAAATAATTAAAATTTAGGCCTCCAATTTTTTTTTTACTTTAGGCCACTAATTAACTTGAGCCGCCACTGCTAGTCTAGTGTAAATGATTTTCACAAAATTTCAGTGTTATACAACAATGATCCATCTGTCCTACTCCAACGTGAAACATAACATAACTCGACAGACGGACAACACTATAAAAGTAGTCTCTATAATATAATACCATCGACTTCACACAAATATATTAACTCCTAACTATGCTTGGTTGGTTTTATTTGAGCACGAGCCCAGTTTTTGTGCATTCTGATGTCAATAAAATAATAGTAGTATTAGACTGGTAAATTTATGATCAATTGTACAATCACAAATATTACTTCCTTGCTAGAGGGATGTAATTGATGTGTGCTAGCAAAATCACTCTTGACTGCAACAAAGGAACAACAAGAAAGAAACAATATTATGTTAGATAAAGCATAGTAAACATTCCTCAACGAATAAATACAATAGTTTGATTGGGAAACAATACTATGATCATAACTTCTTTTCTTGGGCAAATGTAAGCACACAATTCCATTGTGGGACTGCTGGCAATGCAAGAATCAAAATGTAATAGTGTGTTTCCATCTATGATTAAGAACACTATTATTTTCTTAAATCTTGACCAAAACTTAATATATTAAAAATTAAATCTGATTTAAATTTATACTATTTTTGTTATTGTACGATACTCAGACATGTCACTCGTTTCTAACCATTTTTTTCAACTACTCTGCACAAAGGTAATCTGGAAGGACTCCTTCCTTTCTTGGATTTTAATGGAAATGAGTGAATCTATAGGCTAGAGGAAGACTTATGATGAAAGGTAGTTGTATATGTGATGACATTTTCATCAAGTAAATTCATTTAAAATCTCTGAAATCTCATCAATCTCATCCCGAACAAATTTGCAGTAACCGAGATCATTAATCATTTAAAATGTCTGAGATCTCATCCCGAACGAATTTTGCAATGTCAAAACACTCTATAAATTAATAAATATTAATTTATCAATTAAATAATTAATCTACAAAATAATAAGATTTTATATTCCCTATGAATTTAGGGAGTGAGGTTTTAATGTGTATATATTATGAGTTTGATGACCCACCTTAGTAGATGGTTAATGATAAAATGAACTAATTTGGAAATACATACATAATAATTTCTTAACTCTGTAGCATCTCATAATTATTACTCAATAATTTGGAGAAAAGAGAGTTTTGAGCTCAATTTGCTGTCCCAGCGAGTGTAGGGTTGACCGGACGATTTTCCATCAAGTTATGTTGCATGGTTTTGTCTACGACTCTACGTGCAAATATAATCTAATATATATATAGAGAGAGAGAGAGAGAGTCTTGTTGCATCTCCAAAGTCTAAATTATGTACCAACAACTTCAATTTTGCCATGAATGGCTTATTACTTATTGCATATTCATTCATAATAAATTGGCAATCGATGGAACTTCATATCTACATACATGAACATGATAAAAAAAAAACGATACTGATTTATTTAAAATGGATAAGAGAGAGGATATAGTCCTAATAATTAATTTAGGAAAGGTAAACATATATATACATATAGACGTATATGATGCATGCAGGTACGTAATAGCTAGGGAGTAATTAGTAATTAAGTTTAAGCGGCACAGGTGGGACAGGCGCAGCCAGGACCGCACTTGCAGTTGGCCTTTCCAGTAGCGGCTTCACTCTTTGGACATGTGCAAGGATTGCACCCACAGTGCTCTCCACATGAGCATCTCTTGTGCTCCATGCTTGCATCCGACGATGCGCACCTGCATAAATCATATATATACTTACTAATTAATTAATTATATTGATTGCACTCTCAAATTTTAGCATCAACCATACGTACCTGCACGAGATTCCACCGGGGCATGGAGAAGGACAACCACACATTTCATTGCATGTACCACAACTTCCTCTTACATCAGCCATACCTGCAATGGATCCGTTGTCAAAATTAATTAAACGGAAACAATAAAACTGCAACAAATTAAGGGCAACATCCCACCTACACAATATTAGTTAGCTGATGAGATAAAGAGAGCAGAGCGTCTTTCTCTTATATATTGAGTGAAGCAGCTCCACCTGCACGACACCTGCCTATTACGTGTCAACCTGCCCGCCCACTTCTCTTTCTCTTTTGCCACCTTCAACTAATACCTACTTACTATAAAAATATAACACTTTTGAGTACCTAGCTTCTTATAACTCATCATCAAAATAAACTAGTGCTCCCTCTTTCATAACCTACTTAATTTGATGAACTTTTTATTATTAAAATAAACCATTATTAAAATCTATTTATCAAAAATAATATATATTTTTAAATTTTTACATAGTATAAATGTATTTTTCAATAATGTTTTGGGTTATATTTATTTAAATAAAATCAATAACAAAAAAATGACGGAGTAAACAGACATAAAATGTTACTATCAGTAACGTTTTATAATTTGTTACTCTGAGACACGTTTTATAGCTAAAACATTACTCACAGTAACGTTTCTCTGGAATAGCTGAAAACAATGGATATATATATTTTGTTCATCTATTTACTTAAAATACATATGATTTTCTCGTTTCTTCTCTTTCATACATAAATAATACTCCCTCCGTTTTAAAAAAAGTAGTTTAGTTTGACTTGACACGGGATTTCAGAAAATAAAGAAGACTTTTAAATCTTGTGGTTCTAAATTAAAATTATGTCAAATGTACTAAATTGTCCTTTAATCTTGTGGTCTTAAACATGTCACGTTAAAAAACTGAAATTAAAATATTACCAAAAAAAGAAAAAAGATCATCTTCTTTAAACGAATTAAAAAAAAATCATTCTTTTTTTAACAGAGGAAAAAAGTACTTCTTACCACAAAAGGAAAACGAGAGTAAATTTGAATTATTTCTTACGAAGTTTTTGTTGTATCGATTTCAATGCACAAACATTTATTCAATAGAGTTATGTTTCTAGGCACTTGTTATGATTGATTTTAGGCACTTGTTATGCCTTGATTTTACATTTCGATTAGGCTGATCTTATTAATTGAGGCTTATTAAAATAGAATGTTGACTGTGTTGTGAATAATTTTTGTTGAGAAGAACAAAAATTGCCATTGGTAAAAAGCCCTCTTCACTTTCTTTTTTCCTATTGTTGAAAAAAGCGTTGTGAAAAGTGAAAGAAAAAAGAAAGCTTATATATTTCAAGTAAACGTATACGCGATATATATATATATATATCCATTTTAGTAGTGAAAAGTTGCATAAAGTTGAATGAGGTAGGTGTAATATTGAATTTCAATTTTCAGCCATTCCAGAGAACATTATTAAGAGTGACCTTTTAGCTGTAAAACGTGTTTCACAACGTTATTGAGACTGACCTTTTAGCTGTAAAACATGCTTCACAGTAACGAATTATAGAACTTTACTGACAGTAACGTTTTATGTCTATTTACTCCGTCAAATTTTTGTCTTTTTTCCATTAAATTTTTTGAATAAAATATAACCTAAAACATTACTAAGAAATACGTTTATACTAATTTTGTAAAATTTCAAAAAAAAAAGTATTATTTTGGTGAATTGATTTTAATAATGACTTATTTTAGTCAAAAATTCGTTAAAAAATAATTCTAAAGCCAAAGTTATTTGTAATTATAGAAAAGTAATACCTTTTTTTTTAAGAAAAAAAAACATATTATCACATAGATTAAGACAATGGGAGTATAAATTTGATAAGGTACTGCGAAATAAAGTGAATACACTTCTTATAATAAAAAGTTGTGTGAGTTCTCTGTTAATTTATTTCAGGGAAAATAAAGTTGATTGAGCCCAGTCTCATCTCTTTTGAGTCCAGTCCACAAATAATTTGTTCTTACTGTCACGCCTGCTATAAAACACGATTATCTATATTGAATCATTTCGAGCATGTTTCACCCACTCTTCAATCATAATGTAGAAAGGGTGCCTCGGACATATATAAATCACGTTTGAGTACTTATAATGTGATTTTAAGGTTAAATCTCAAAACTAAAACGTCAGTGCTCACATTTCTTCAAAGTTGCTCATAATCGTAACGTTCCTTCTTAGAAACAAAAAACATTGTGTTTATAGGGCTACATTTCCTCTTTATGTTTGTAAAACTTGAATAATAGGCTGTGGTGATTGATTCATCCATTCCAACAGTAGGCAGTGAGTTCCTTCCATTAATTAACATTAAAATGTTGCATGTAGCTACTGGTAGTCATGCTTTTCGTGTCAGCTCTTTCAAATGTATCCTACCAAATAAGTCTAAAGTGTTGCTCAGGCTCCTGTTGAATTGAGTAGAAAGAAAAATACACATCAGTGAGTGACAGACTTAATCACTATTTTCACAATAATATATCATCCATTTATGTGACTTATTATTTTACAACAAGAGCTACTATGCCCTATTCCAACCAGGTGTGCCTCAAAACATTTGAGGCTATTTGTTACATAAGTGGTTTTTACTAAGGTTTGCAAATACATTCTTACATTATTCTCATTTGAGGGAATTTGAAAGTTCCAGAGCAGAGCTTTTCTGATATCCAAAATATTGAGTTCAAAAAATCCACCAAGACATGTATGCTTTAATCCACAAAAAGAAGTTTGGTTAAACAAAATGGGAGTTAAGGAGATACCAGGAACTTGAATCCATTTAATTTTATCAAATAGATGTTTTCAAAATGATGTTAATATTTTCTTTTGCAGTAGCTAACTATAAACTCAAATGGACTGGAGGGAGTAAAGCGGAACCCTGTTGTAGCCTACTATGCCTTAACTCAGCATATGAAAAGGTGAGATATCTGCTAAGGTGCCTTCAAGTTATGATACATACAACTCATGTAAAGTGATGCATGTTGCTTATATGCTAAACTGTTCCTATACTCCACCTTACAGTGGACGAAACATCTGTTCACTCTAAGGTGGAGCCTATGTAGAGAGGGTCAGACACACAAGTACAGACATGGAAAAGGATTGTGCGGGTCATGAGAGCAAAGAAAAAAAGAAGAAAAGAATGCATGTGTTTACCTTGTAAACGGAACTGGTCATAGGAAGTGAATGCATTAGGTCATCGGTTTGTTTACATAACAGTTATGCAAGTCTGTTTTTCTCTTTTTTATTTTCATGAGCCTTCTAAAATGAGTATTTTCCTTAATGATGTTGAATAAAAAAAATTCTATGCAAAAACTACTAAAGTGGTGCATATACAATACTCAATAGTTTTGCTTATTAAGGCATAAACTTACCAATCATATCTTCGCTAAGTATCTTCAACTCCAAGTTGTCGAAGAGAATCAGGGGCAACAAGGAACACACGTCTAGATGTTTGAAACCGGAAAACTACTATCCCTTTATATGCTGCCCGTGGTACACCATCCTGATGAAATGAACAGTTAATGCAAGTTTTACAGAAAGCATAAGAGCCATGAGTCCATGACAGAGGACAAATCCATCACAGGCTCACAGCTAGAGTGAGTAGATCTGTCCATGGTCCGGGGTAAGAACCGACATGGGGCCAGTCAATAATCCATATTAAATACAGATTACCCTAACCCGTGTTTCACTTGCATGTTGCATCCCATCATGGCCTAATTTCAATTCCATGAGCACCCTTTCCCCAGAGTAGGACTGACCACCACCAACAACAACAACATACCTAGGGGTCTGGGGAGGGTAGAGTGTACACAAACCTTACCACTACCACTCCGAGGTAGAGAGGCTGTTTTCAAAAGACCTTCAGCTCATGCAAATCAAAGCAGTAACAAAACGGAAAAAAATGGTTGGGGAGAGAAACATGACAACTAATAGCAGAGTAGGACTGACCATGAGCAACAACTGGGCCTTACAAGAATTGATCTTTAAAATTTATAAACATAACATTAAATATAATCTAACTTTATTTATCAAAAAGCAAGTTAGTTTGCATTTCTTTAAGAATTAAGTAATCAAATTGACCAAGTAACCAAAGCCACAAATAAAACAAGTAAATGGCTATAAATTCATCTACTTTTTTGATAAATCACCTCCTATTTCATTTCTGCTAATTCTATACATGTAGGTATTTATTCCAGTACAAATATATTACAATATAATTTCAATATAAAAAAATATGAATATTAATAATAAATATATGAGGCCAGAACGGCCAGTCCACAGGCAATTAATACTATTCAAGTCTTGCCCATTGGCAAGCTCAGTTTTTGTTCAAGCCCAGACGCACAAAGTTGACTGGGCCCCAAGCCCATAGATGCCTACAAGTGAAAGGGGAGAAGGAAAGCATGCATTTCAATTTCACCTCCCTTTGCACCTCAATCCTAGAAGGGGATGAGTTGTGGAATTGGATTCTGATTGCTCACTCTAACCCTAAGGCACCTGCCTTTTTCTTTTGTGTTGCAAAACTATACCAGCAAACAGCAACTGTTCACATTCATGCTATATCCAAATAAATTATTAAAAAATCATGACAGTGAAAGAGTAAATCTCCAAGAGCTAAAAGTATAAAATCAGGCATGAATTTTGCACTCCTCAACAGTCTATTTCAAAGTTAAGTAAAATAGATGCCCAATATGCAATGCACAGTCAATAGTCATACCCAACATATGCAATAACTGCATCAAAAGAACCCACTCAAACAAATATGATCAAATCTCAGGTCATAATCAATTTTATATGAAATAGAAAGGGTCATATATGCATTACCTTCCATTCTTCAAAAATGCCAAACTGCCGAGCGATATCTTCAAAGTCTAGTTGGTCTCTGTACTGAATACGCACATCACCATCTATGTTAAATGCTTTCAAAACAGCATCAGCTCCGTGGATGGGCTTAGCCTTTTTAACCAAGTCGCCAAAGTGTTTCACATAGTTGTCCTGAGAACATGAAACTACAAGTTACATACGTTCCTAAGTTCTTTAATCTT